AGATGTCTCCTGCAAGTCTTTGTGGGTTCCACGTGTTACATATTTGTTGCAGTCAACAGGTTGCTTCCGTGTGGATCTTTTTTTATTTTGGTTGGTTTTGTTTGCAGGGTGAGTTGACCTTACCTTTTGTTTTGTTTGCAGGGTGAGTTGACCTTACAAATGCTATAAAACTATAGAATGTGTATTGATTCTCTACTAGGACTGTCTCGAGCCCTAAATTCAGTACTTCTACATCCAATGGATTGCCTCCAGCGGCTGGAAGTGGCGGCGGCAAGATGAGGCGGGAAAGAGGTGTCCACTACGTATCAAAATCTGCACGAGAGGAGGAGGTAAGAATATTTCTTACTCTGCAGGGTGAGAGCAGGCACCGATGTAAACGGTGAGATGTATGTATCTCTTTAATAGACTATGGGCAGGTTTGAGCTTCATACCCCAAGCCAGTTAATCTAGGAACTCGTTAAATGCTGACCGAAGTTGTGTTTCACATTCTTGTCACATTCTCTCCCGGCAGTGTGTTGGTCATTAAAATGAAGTCGTTCAGAACTTGCTGCAGTAGATAGAGTGCAGGGCTTGAGGCCCGGGCTGTAGGAGGCCAAACCACTGTTTGGGTTGGAATGGGAATCGTTATTAAAACTGGGGGATCCATATCTTGGTGCTGTAGCAAGGGCAGCATGCAAACTCCCGCTGGTGCATTTGATGCTGCTGGGTCCAGATGTACACCAGCTGAAAGTCATTGCTTGGAGCCTGTTTGGGAGGCGCACACGGCTGTTGTGGCTGCTCAGAAGAAGCCTTTGGTTTTGCTGCTGCAGCCAGAAACAGAGACATGAGCTGTAAAGTAACAATGTCCTATATTATGCAAACTTTCATGCACTCTGACGTTTTTCTTTTCCTATTCATTTTTTTAAAATGGTATGACGGATCCTTATCTTTATCCTTATCCTACTGCTCCACAGAGCAAAGAGTATTCATTTATTCATTATTCATTCATTTATTAAAATACTTATACCCTCACATTTCCCTTTGGCTCAATTTTGAAGCCTTCCTTCAACTTAATGGGCTCTCTGACTAGAGGACGAGTGGCTTAAGTTGGAGGAAAGCTACCTGGAGGACAGTTGCATACAGGCCAGTATTTCAGTGCTTCCGTTCAGAAATGTTTCATAACAGGCAATGTTGCTTTTATCTTTTCTGTAGAACTGGGCTGAGTCGGGGTGGGATATCCCTTCTGTTGAAACCGGAAAAATAACCTTATAACTGTACAATTTTAGGAGATGGAGGTGCCGGTACTACCAGAAATATCTTTGCCCATCAGCACGTCCTCATTGCCAAACTTCAGCTTTGGCCCTCTTTCCAGTACTACTGCTTCGACTTCACCTGTCAGCTCTGCACAATCAGTACCTAAAAAGGTAATTTCTTTTTGAAGGTTTTGCACGCTTTACTCTCCTATGTCCCCACCATCCTGCCTTTTACCGTCCAGTTGACTTAAATTGTCAACTTTGTCAGAAATATCTTTGCCCATCAGCACGTCCTCATTGCCAAACTTCAGCTTTGGCCCTCTTTCTAGTACTACTGCTTCGACTTCACCTGTCAGCTCTGCACAATCAGTACCTAAAAAGGTAATTTCTTTTTGAAGGTTTTGCACGCTTTACTCTCCTATGTCCCCACCATCCTGCCTTTTACTGTCCAGTTGACTTAAATTGTCAACTTTGTGAGCACAGATGCCAGTTCAGACCTGGGTGTGCTACACTGACCTGCATAATCATGTGAGGAAGGCCTCCTTGTTTGGTGCAGTCGGTTTTTAAGTGCTAAATTTATCTGCATGCCAAGCAAGCTTTATTGTCTTGTTTCCACAACTGTAAATTAAAGTACCAGGGAGATAAGCTGAATCCTATTAAGTGCTACAGTATTTGATGTGTAAGGAAGTTGAAGAATTATTTCTTCATAGTTTTGAGGTACTGTATGAGGAGAGGAAAGCAGATGCTTTCCCCCACTTTTGGCAGAGTCGCTAACAGTCACAGTGGCTGAAGTATTAGCAGATCAGAAATAGAGGAGGCATTGATGACAACTATTTTCATATCGCTGTAAACACTGACGCATATGTGGTTTGACTCTGCTTTTAAAAAAGCGGGCCAGGATTTAAAGACATGCGTCGTGCCCCTGACTTGCCTTTCACAGTTATACTTCTTATTACAAAACAGTTAGAAATGCAGTCATCCAGATAAATTAATGCAGTTGGCTGTACTCGATCCAACAGTCTTTCATTCCAATATGCTAAAAGTAAAATGCATCTTTAGACAATTTTTTAAAATAAAAAAAAATTATTTTACAGCAGTTGCTCAAGCATGTTATTTTTTTCAAGAAAGCAGCTGTCCAGATTTCTCTCTGTAGCAGAACATACTGAGAGCCTGCTGGTTCAGACCAGTAGTCCATCTAGTTCAGCATTCTGTTTCACACAGTGGCCTACCGGTTGCCATGGAGAACCAAAAAAAACCAGGACATACAGGCCAAGGCCTCCCCCAATGTTCCCCCTGACACTGGTTTTCAGAGGTTTGCTGCCTCTGTGTGTGACAGTTCGCTCTATTCACCATGGCCATTGATGGACCTCTCCCTCCATGCACCTATCTAACCTTCTTCTAAAGCAGGGGTGTCAAACATAAGGGCCGGGGCACAGAACCGGCCCATCCAGGGCTCTTATGTGGCCTGTGAGCATCTATGCAAGGGAGGGAACAGGAGACTGTTCAGAGGGGGAGGTGGGCAGAGAGCACTCCGATTGTGGCTTCAGCGTGGCAGAACAACCTCGTCTGTAGCCGTCAAGCAGCATGGGAGTGTCTGCCCAGTGCTGCACCGCTGGCTCTCCAGTCCATCCATATGGGTTTTCATTTGGAACCTCCTCCCAGCCCACGGGGCCTTGCAATGAGCATGCATCAACTCGGAGCTTACCAGCTGCTGTCCTTTATGCAGTTTATATCTCCGGTACCTGGCATTACGTTTTATGGCACACACGGCCCGGCCCGATGAAATGACATTTATGTCAGATCCGGCACTCGTAACAAATGAGTTCGACACCTCTGTTCTAAAGCCATCTGTGCTCGTGGCCAGTGTTCCCTCTAAGCTGAGTTAGTGTGAGCCAGCTCATAGTTTCTTAGCTTCCAGCTCACACTTTTTTGTCTGATCTCAGGAAGGATGGCTCCAGAGAGAACTGATTTATGCAGCAGCCGAATTGCTTGCTCACAACTTTCATGCCGGTCGCTGACAAAGTAGAATTTTTGCTCACAAGACTCCACAGCTTAGAGGGAACATTGCTCGTGGCCATCACTACGTCCACTGGCAGTCAATTCCACAGTTATTCATTGAGTAAAAAGAAGTATTTCCTCTTGTCTGTCCTGAACCTGTTTCTGAACAATTTCGTTGGGTGCCCCCAGGTTCTAATATTAATAAAGTTGGAGGATCTGCTTTTTCGAAAGCCTCTGAAACATGTGAGGGGTGGAGTGGTGGCGGCTGGGGCCAAAGAAACACAAGCTACCTTGGTCATGCATAAGTCATCTGGGCCCCTTCCTAAGCTTTAATGTGTCTGTTCCCTGCATCGTTGACCAGCAGCAAATAAATCCCTTCAAGAGAGCTATTCAAAATCTTAATTCTTTTGAAAATATCAGGTGCAACCAGCCAGTAATGCCAGCAGTCCTATCTTCAGATTTTCATCTCCAATTGTAAAATCCACTGAAGCAGAAGTGCTGCCTCCCGTGTCTGTGAGTAAATAATGCATGTGTAAAACTTATAATAAAAGACGATGGTGTTAATGTAGAGAGAAAAGGACACAGATATTAGTATTCCAAATCGGTGTCCTCTATCCTATCAAAGAGCTCTCAAAGAAAGGGGTTGGGGATCAGATCTATCTTCGACGTGGTCTCTGTGCTTCACACCCATGGGATCTAGTGCGCACGCGCTGGATCGATTGGCGTTGTAGCAAACTCTTTAACGGATTTTCGCTCCCAGACCCCAGGCATGCGCAGGAACCCCACTGCGCATGCCCAGAGGGGAGGGCGCGGACATCCCGCCAGTTCCTTTTTTACCGCCGCGTTGGAAAGACCTTTCTTTCGTCGTCTGATCGGTTCGCTATTTTTGGCCTTTGCCTCACAGCTCTTCGGATTTTTTCCTCACTTTTCGTCCCTTTTCTTACTATTTCCTTGTTTGTTTACCTCAGTCTGGCCTTTGGGCGCCCCCCCCAACCCCTCCTTCTTCTCTCTTTTTACTTCGTTTATGGAGAAGAAGTCGGGATTTTTCAATCGTTGCAAGGGCTGCGCCACCTGACTGTCACACCCTTTGCATTTTCTGTTTGGGGGAGTTTCACCGACCAGAATCTTGTTGGCTCTGTGCCAGGTTTTCGAGCTACGCGTCTTAAAGTAGCGCTACTTGAGTTGGCTTTAAATCCTCCCTCAGCGATGGAATCAGACAGAGACCATCCACGTCGACCTCTCCGGCATCGAGGCCTTCCTCCGACATCGGCCAATCGATGTCGAAGCCTCCGGAATCGAAGGCACGATCTTCTGCTTCCACTCCGGTGAAGAAGCCGAAGGCCAGTAAGGAGCATAAGTCTGCAATCGAAGGGCCCCCCCTAAGTCAGAGAAAGTGGTGTCTGCACTGGGTAATGCACTCTAACGGCTGTATCGGCATCGGAGACCCATGCGCCTCCACCCATACCGACCATCCAACTCTTGGACTCCCCTATACATCAACTTGAGCGTCCCTACTCCGATATCGAGACGGTGGAGCTCCTTAGTCGCCCTCCGGGCGCAGAGCGTTCTCCTTCCCCATCACCGTCGTCGACATCGATGGTGTCAGAGACTCTCGATATCGGTATGAGTCAGAATCGACGCATTTCCAGCACCACGCAGCGTCACCCTCCACGTCTGCTGGCGGAACCTGTCGATACTGATGAGTGACTTTATAGGAATCGCTCACATGGGCACAATCCTGTTTTGTCTCCTGGTCGTTCCCGATCCAGAAGTCGATCTCCCTGAGTCTTTATCCCCTCACCACCACCTCTGTCTTGGGATCACCACCAGCTGAGGTATCTCTATGGGGCCTATCCACCGTCTATGCCGTGGTTGACTCCGGCAGGCTATTCCGACTGTGATCATTACTCAACCCACTCCGTCCACAGATCAAGGTCGCCGCACAGGTCTCGACCTTTAGCATCTCTCTCTCGACCTCCGAACGAGGATTCTTCTCAGCATAAACCGGAACTCTGTTGTCCTCCCAACCCTGTCGTACCACCAAAGGTTTTTAACTACTCAAACTGAAGTCACTCCGGTTCAAATGCCAGATCAGGAATCCTCTGATCCTGCAGAGTGGGATTCTGATATGGAGGCCTCAGAGGCTCACGCCTTCCCTGACCACAAGTCTCTTACCCAAGCTGTCGCAGATGATCTACCAATATCCCCATCCGACAATCTCACTTCTTATGCAGATCTTGTCAAAGGACTGGCACATTCTCTAGGCCTCTCAGTCGTTCAACAGCAACCACAGGTTACAGATGCTGTCTTCGATATCTTGCAACTTGACACCTCAACTACAAGAGCACTGCCCATGTCCACAGTCCTCTACAGAGCAGAAAAAACACCATGGGAGAAGCCTTCGTCAGTCACAGTGTCAACAAGACGCCTGGACCACATGTATAGAGTCCAGGAGACCGGAGCTGAAATTTTATTTCCCACCCACAACCAAACTCGTTGTGGTAACTTCTTCGTCTAGGTCCAAACGAACACACTCTGCACCTTCTGATAGAGAGAGTAAGAAATTAGAAGCATTTGGAAGACCCTTCTACTCCACGGGAGCCTTAGCCGTTAAAACCACAAATTACTTAGCCTGCATGAGCAGATATCAATACACTCTGTGGGAAAGGTTTTCTGAACTCCTGAGTCATCTTCCCGAAGATAAGCTTCAGGCAGCCAGAATCATTCAAAAGGAGGGCATGATACTTGCGAAGCAGCAAATCAACACTTCCAGCAACTACGTCGGTCCTGGTCTTTGCCAAGTTGAAGATGTGTCCATTAAAACTATGGTTTATTCGCGAACTTGACCCAATGAGAAACACCCACACCACCGTCTTGACCCCACCTCCCAATGTACAAGTCTCCTTACTTTGGTGGACTGTCCCTTCCAATCTATTCCAGGGAGCACCCTTCCATCCTCCATCACCCCAAACTACCCTGACCACAGACACCTCCCTGTTGGGCTGGGGTGCTCACAAGATGGGTATCTGTATCGGAGGCAAGTGGGACACTCAGAAACGAAAGAGGCACATAAACTTCTTGGAACTGCTTGCAATACAGTTTGCTGTCGCCAGTTTCCTGCCTCTGATCAAGGGGAAATGTGTTACGGTCCTCACGGACAACACCACTGCCCTCAGTTATGTCAACAAACAAGAGGGCACTGTCTCCCTACATCTTTGCAACCTTGCCATCCAGTTGTGAAACCTCTGCATCACCCACAACATCTTCCTTGTCGCCACCCACATCCCAGGTCACATGAATGTGCAGGCAGACCACCTAAATTGAACAGGACTCAGTCTCCACAAGTGGGAGATAAATCCAACCTATCTTCTTCCACTCTTCCACAGGTGGGGAGTTTCCCAAGTCGATGTCTTTGCCACCAGAGTGAATAAAATATGTCCTCTGTTCCACAGCCGAGTTGCCAGGGATCCACAGTCTCTAGGGGACGGTCTCCTCTATCCGTGGTCCAGGGACCTTCTCTACCTTTTTCCTCTGCTACCCATGCTTCTGAGAGTGGTCCGCAAAATCATCAGCAACAGAGCGGACTGCATCCTAATAACACCGTGGTGGCCGAGGCAACCATGGTTCTCAACCATCCTCGGTCTGTCAGCAGGGGTCTACCACCAGTTTCCTCTGGCACAGGACCTCCTCTTCCTGTCCAGCTCCCCTCCCCTGTACCACAACGTTCTACAGATGAAGTTGATGGCTTGGAGAATAACGTCAACAGCTTTCCCACCCACTTGGTAAATGTTTTGCTAAATGCAAGAAAACCTACTATGCGAAAGTCGTACCATTACAAATGGCGAAAATTCTGTTCCTCCTTGGGTGAGGAGGCCCCTCGAGCCACCTCCGCTGGTCTCGAGAAGGTTTTCCAATTCCTCCTGTCCCTCGCTGACTCAGGACTTTCACATTCATCATTAAGAGTTTATCCGGCCACAATTTCGGCCTACCATGTTCAAGTTGAGGGATCCACACTGTTCTCGCATCCGTTTTCTAAATGTTTTTTGAAGGGACGGTTGCACCTCTAGCCTCCCATCAAAACTCCTGTCGTTCCTTGGGACCTTCCCTTGGTCCTTCGTCAGCTCACAAGGAAACCCTTTGAGCCACTTGCAACTTGCGATCTAAAATTCCTCTTGTGGAAGACGGCTTTCTTGGTCGCTGTCACCTCAGCAAGGCGAGTTGGAGAAATAATGGCTTTCAGACACGATACACCTTACCTGTCTTTTTGCCAGACGGTGTCTGCCTTGTACCTGACATTTCCTTCCTGCCAAAGGTAGTGTCAGAGTTCCACCTACAGGTGGAGGTCTTCCTCCCAGATTTCTTCCCTGCTCTGGCATCCTCGGAGGACAGACTGTTACACACATTGGATGCAAAACGTGCGCTTCTGTTCTACCTCAACAGAACCCGTCCAACGAGACGAGACTCCCAACTGTTCGTTTCTTATGTGCCAGCAAGGCTGGGGACTCGCATCAAGGCTCAGCACCTCTCAAAGTGGATTGCGGGTCTCATCCGCCTCTGTTACCTGATTGCCAAACAGCCATTGCCTGACCCTATCAGGGCCCATTCAACCCGAGCTGTTGCGGCTTCCACTGCCTTCCTCCAGGGAGTACCCCATACGGACATTTGCAGAGCCACTACATGGGCTACGCCTAACACATTCATAAGGTACTATGCCCTAGACGTCCGAAAGATCTCTAATACCAACATGGGATGTCACATCTTATCCTCGGCTTCGCAGTAAGGGCCTGCCAGCACCCTCCTCCAGGTAGGACACTGCTCGCTAATCTCCCATGGGTGTGAAGCACAGAGACCACGTCGAAGATAAACAGGTTGCTTACCTGTAACTAGTGATCTTCGAGTGGTCATCTGTGCATTCACACCACCCGCCCTCCTTCCCCGCTGCTGTCAGCTTCTATATTTTTGAATAGGGGTTGATTCGTGGCCATTTGAAGGAACTGGAGGGATGTCCGCGCCCACCCCTTTCGGCATGCGTGGTGGGGTTCCTGCGCATGCCCGGGGTCTGGGCGCGAAAATCCGTTAAAGAGCTTGCTACAACGCCGATCGATCCAGCGTGTGCGCACTAGATCCCATGGGTGTGAATGCACAAATGACTACTTGAAAATCACTAGTTACAGGTAAGCAACTTGTTTTTCCCATTCCCCCTAGCATTCAGTAGAGGTACATAATACCAAGAAATCATCCATTTTAGTTTTTTTATAAGCTGGGTGGCCATTTGGTTCCTCTTTATCATCCATGTCTCGTAGTCTTTTCCCTCTGCCCATATCTGTAACTATTTCCAGCCATCAGGAAAGGATATAATGTTTAAGCCTTGTTTGCAACACAGAAAATAGTTTCTAGCAGTTTTTCTGAGTTATCTTGTTTTCATTTAAGGCAGGAAGTTTTCAAGGTTTAATTGGTGGCTGGGATCTCTCTGGTATTGTGTAAATAAAATAGTTAAACGAATAAAATAGGGCCGGCACGATTGCCAAGGCTGTGTTCATTAAACAGCTACTGAGGCTATAGTATTAAAAGTTGGTATAAGATAAAAATTGGTATAAGATAAAATATAGAACTTGCAGAGCAGAGTGTCTTCGGCGTGGCTTCCCTTCCTCCTCCCCAAATTATAATTTTGCAAGATGAAAGATCCTTGTGAATAAAATGGGAAAAATCAAGCGGAATCACCTCCCATTTCCACTGGCAGACTTCTGTTAGCAAAATTTGGAAGCACTTTTGTCTCCTTGCTGCTTTTGTTCATTTTGAAGGCGAGTCTTTTGATCCTCAGCAAAAGATTTTCAGAGAACGCTTTATAGGAAGGAAAGGAAGATCCGCTCCACCAACTCCATTAAATTTTCTCATATACTCATAAGATCCAGCTGTTGGCATTTACTAGATGGACAAGCTAGACTGTGTTCTCACATTCAACTTTTTTTTTTTGCCAGATTGGCGGCTTTAAATTTAGCGTCCCTGTGGCAAAATCATCTGAGCCTTCAGGACCGAAGGATACTCCAGTTATGCCTCTAATTAACGCAGGTAATTAACTTACGCAATTAGGAAGAAAAATCTTTGACAGAGAAAGAAGATCACCTAGAATATTTTAGCAGCTTATTAATGTAATGTTTTATTATGTTGTAGTTTTTAACTTGGGCTTGTTTGGGACCAGCTGAGCCCAAGGTCAAAATTACAACACAGTTGCTGCAAATCACAACACCTGCAAACTTCAATGTACCCTAGACTAAAAACTGGGTTCACTCTTGAAAGTCAGTCAAAATAGAAAGATCTCAAGTTTGCTAGAGGAGGCTTAGGCAGAGTGTCTTTGCGGTTCTGCAGCTGATTTATCACTGGCGGAAGTGTTTGCAGATGTCAACTCCATCACTGATTGGCTGGGACTTGAAGAAAAGTCTCATCTGAAGGTTCTGATATCTTGTGGACTAAAGAATAACCTCTTGAGAATTTACAGCAGAGGGGTAATCCCATTTTCCTCCTAATCCCTTAGCGGACAGCTCTCCCTTAGTGTCAGTTTGGCCCCCCCCCCCCCCCCCCCCTTGGTCCCCCCCCTCCCGTGGAGGTCCTGTGGAGGTACCGTGGAGGTTCCATGGCAAGGGAGAGGTGCTGATCACAGGACAAGCTGGCGCGCAACGAAGAAGCGCGCGCCGCGGCAAACTGTTTTGTTTTTGTGTGTACACGACGAATGCGCATGCTCCGTTGGGTGCGTGTGCGCATCCACAGAGACGTGGACAAAAAAACCCCACCTTATTTGCAAGGGGACATGGGTGGGCGCCGGATGACACCGGAAACGCGATCAGACGCCCGCCCTTGCCCCGCAGTTTCTGGAAACTAGTACTTTTCGGCTGGAAGCCTCGGTTGTGCCACGGGAGTGCTACGCTTCCCAGATGTGCTGGTGAGATCGCGCCCGGAAACTCCGCCTGTTTTCCATCTCACTTCTGTGGCTTCTGTTCCGTGTGACCGCAGCCATTAATTAGCAGGCAGCATTGCATATGTATGAACTTCCAAGAATTTAACTTGAATAGTCAAGCTGAAAGTGAGCCTTTAGTTGATGTTAAGGCAGTCCAGGGGTGTAATGGGATTTGTAACCATTTCAGCCGTGACTAATGCTTATTGTATATTATGGAGAAATATAACAAAGTTTGAGTCCAGTGGCACCTTTAAGACCAACAATTCTGGGTATAAGATTTAGTGTTTCTGGTGACAAAAGCAAATCCTCAGAATTAAACTTTGTTGGTCTTAAAGGTGCCACTGGACTCAGACTCTGTTCTGTTGCTTCAGACCAACATGGCTACCCACCTGAATCTACGGAGAAATATATACTTCAAGTTCCTCCTATTTCCTTTCCCAAGTATGAAAATCAACAAGTACACGAAAAACCCCTGCAGCTCCCCCCCGCCCCCCAAGGACAGAGGGCAAAAAATATTTTGTGGTACTTTTTATTTCAAATATTGGGTTGGATCTAGTGCAGAACTTCCCACCTGCACAGGCAGAAGTTCAAGAAAACAACTGTAGCAGCTGCTTATTGTATCCCTACTTGCATTTCCACTCGTGCTAGATTGAACCTAGCAGCTTCTCCATTCTGAAAATGGCTCTCTAAAGTACAGTATGGGAGGGGGCAGAGATTGTTGCACAAGGTCTTGTGCATACCCATCTGCAAGCAGAACAACACTATACAGGCCCCGGTCACACGAGCAGGAAACCGCGGGGGGAAGCGTGGCAGTGTGCCCCGGGGCAAACTAAGGCGCCGTTACCTGACCAGACCTCCCGTGGAGGTCCCGTGGGAAGGGAGAGGTGCCGATCGCAGGACAATCCCGCGCGCAAAAACGAAGCACGCGGTTCGGCAAACTATAGTTTTTTTTCTGTACAGCACGACTGCGCATGCTCCGTAGGGTGCTTTTGCGCATCCACGAAGACCTGGGGGAAAAAACTTTTTCGCAAGGATGGGAACTTGGGCGGGCGCCGGATGCCACCGGAAACGCGATCAGATGCCCGCCCTTGCCCCGTGGTTTCCGGATACTAGTACCTCCAAGGTACTAGTTTTTTGCTGTGTGGTTTCAGCGGGAAGCCTCGTTTGAGCCACGGGAGTGCTACGCTTCCCAGACGTGCCGGTGAGATCGCGTCTGGAAACTCCGCATGTCTTCCGTCTGACTAGGGTGGCTAATGTTCCGTGTGACCACAGCCATAGATTTCTTTTTCTGTTTGCGCATTATTGAATCCAACCTAAAGTTTATGGAACTTAAGGCAAGTGTTCTTTGTGTTTGTTTTTGTACCTCATTTAAAAAAATTCTTTGCAGTTTTCTGTGCATGTAAATTGCCATCAAGTCGCAGCCGACTTACAGCAACCTCGTAGGGTTTTCAAGGCAAGAGCCCAAGGCTGTCTTCCTGCTGCCTACTAATTTGTTCAAGTGCAGCTAAAACCACCTGTATCATCATTCTAGCAGTCCAGTTAGCAATGTTTTTTCATGAGATACTAGGTTGTTATCAGAATTGTGTGTATGGTACAACCTTTGAATTTGAAATCTGTTTTATATGCTGCATTTATATTGCAAGCTATCTAAGGCTTATAATTTAAAATTACAAAGACAAGATACAAAAAAAAAATCAATGAAACAACAGAGTTCTCGTATGCTGTTGCTGGTCTTTTCTAAAACTGTTGACTTGAACTCCCTGGCCTTGATTTTCTCTCTTTCTTGCCTCACCTTCCAGGATACCCTCCAGTACACATCCTTGTCCATATTTCCAAGTACATGCACTTAGGTTAAAGGCATGTCTTCCCCACCCATTCATAAATAAGTTTTTAAGCCTGCTTTTGGAGAAGTGTGTTGTACATGTCTGAGTAAATGTGTCTTGACAGTTCCAAGTGTGCCAGTGGGAACTCCTGAGCAGAGCTTTCCAGGTTTGCAGTGCAGCTTCTGTGTTGCTGCCCTTCCTTCCCTTCCTTCTTTAAATTGATACAAATAATTCAATCAAATAGCACACATATCTAATTAAAAAAATGGAACTGGGCTAATATTTCTGCCTCCTTCCCTACAGTCCTTGCCAGAACATACAGAATTATATGAATGCCTAAACACTGCAGTTAGAATAAGCTGTTCTTTGTGTGTTACAAACAACTTGGACTCCTATGAACAGTCTGAAAACAGCCTCATGAATCGTACTATATGAGAGAGGATATTAAGCAGCTAAGTTCACTCAGTGTGGATGTTCGCTGTATGTTAGTGGTTCAGCAAGCATTTATTGAACTGGTAACGTTACCTCCCAAGTTTGTTAGCTCATCTTGTAAAAGAAAAAGCTTGTTAGGAATTCAGGCTGCCTTTTCTTTTCCTTTTCTTAGGCTTTGCGTCTCCATCCACTTACTCCTCATCGGCTACTCCACCTGTCACAGCAAGCACAGTAGTTTATACAAGGCCGGCCATAAGTGGCTTTTCTGCAGCTGCTTCAGGACTTGGAGATACTTCAAAACAAACGTCAGCATATTGGCAGTGTCAGGCATGTCTGGTGGAAAACAAGGCGACGGACAGCAAATGCATAGCCTGTCAGACAGCAAAAGTGTCAGCCTCAGACGGTACTAAACACCCTGGTACTTTGACTCCGAATATCGCCGTCAAACCAGCTGTTTCTACAATAGGGACGCAGGGCTTTGGAGATAAGTTTAAGGCAGCAGCCGGAAGTTGGGACTGTGACACTTGTTTGGTTCAGAATAAACCGGAAGCTACAAAATGTGTGGCCTGTGAAACACCAAAACCTGGAACAGGAGTAAAGCCAGCTCTTGTCTTACCTGTGGCCACGGAAAATACGACGACGGTGTCTTCCTCTTCTAGCTACATGGATACATCAGTCACTTTGGGATTTGGGGACAAATTCAAGAAGCCAAAAGGTGCTTGGGAGTGTTCTGTGTGCTTAGTGACAAACAAGGCAGAGGACAGCAAATGTGTAGCCTGTCAGTCTGACAAACCAGGTGAGCTTGCAGCATTTGGAGAGAAAAAAACACGTACACACACACGCATCCCCCCCCCCCCGTTTGAACATTTTATCCTGCACTGAAAACCAGTATAGGATACATCTGAAAGTTTCCTGGAATTTTAAGATGTAAGAGCAAATTGTGAAGTCTGTGTTGCAATATCTGTCCTTTCTTGCCAGTATATAGTGTCCAAGCCCACATTATATGTTGGTGAGCAGATTAGTAAATGTACTCCTTGGCAAGTTTTGCAACTTAACCACCATGTTCAAGCAGTGTCACAGGTTGAAGGCAAACGGGGAAGATTATAGTATAATTCATTGTGTATGATTATTTTTAAAATTTTTCTATAACAGGTTGTTATGCTACATTATCCCTAAGCCCATGGTGCAGTGAGAATAAGAGTTAATGTCATCCTCACCTCTAATGGCATTTGTTCAAGCAACTTAGTCTTTCATGAACTCTTTGTTTGATTTTCTTGATCTCTGAGAAGCCCATGTTAATGGGCAAGTTGCCTTCCTGATATGATTTTTTTTTTTGATAGTAAAACATTTTACAGTGCAGTTGTAAACAGATTAGCACCCTTTTAGGTCTGTTTATTTCGATAAATGTCCCACAATTATAAGTGATCATTGCCTCTGGAGCAAATGGCTACCTTGGAGGGTGGATTCTATGGCGTTATACCCTCCTGAGGTCCCTTCCCTTTCCAGTTTCCAACCCAAAATCTCCAGGAATTTCCCAACCTGGAGTTGGCAGCCCTACATATTGGAAAAATTGGAAATGGTCTGTGAAGTGTGTTGGAAACCTTTTTTAAAAGCACACTGAACTAGGTTTAGGAGATTAGAATTACTTCTGCCAGTTTTATTATCAAGTTGTCTGTGTGACTTCTGCCACCGAAAAAGCAGCTGTTGATTATATTCACTTCTTTATACATACTGGCAGGTACTTGACATGTGGTGTTTGGACTTGATAATTATTCTGTAATTTCCCCCCCCC